ATACGATTGAGCTGACCACCATGAACATGATTTGATGCTACATCTGCCTGATCACGGCGCGTAGAAGTGCCCTCGTTCGCTGGAGTTATATGTACTTGAAGGTAGAACTATGTGGCAAAGGTAAATGTCATATCTTTGTTGTCTGATCGTTATCGTATTTTCAGTCTTGAAAGTCTCGTTCCCTGTTGGTGTCACTTCCTTAAATTACCTTGGACAATCCTGATTTTCAAACTACACAAATTTACCACTTAAAAAACCTTGTTTCAGGCATCCTGTTATGGCGGCCGTATGTATGCAACTTATTGTATCCTTCCAAAATCACTTTCCCAGTTCTTGTGATGGCGTTAAACCAACATATCAAATCTGTTGGAATCAAACGTTATTACGTTGTTATATGAGATGTATTCAACCTATTTCGTTAAAGGTAATGGACGATGATATGAATAGGGCTGACGTTTTCATTGAATTTCACATAGCCTTCCTTTCCCAAAAGTCCTTTCCTTTCCTTTCCAAAGTCCTCCCTCCAGGGAGGACTACAATTTTGACCTTGCATAGGACTTATCGTTATGTTTTTTGTTAATATCCCAAGTCTTTTAGTTTTTTCTAAAGTTCTCCAACTTCTCCGAGACCAATAGATGATCCTAATTTACTTAGTTAGGGAAATTTCTTACTCCCACTATCGTTGAGCATCTTTGCCGAGACGATCTATCCTCATTTTTCTTGCTATTTTTTTATGCCACTTGATTATGCTTCAGGGCCCCTTTGACCACCTTCTGTTACGTTATATGATAGCGGTCTGGATTGTTGATAAGACCTATGCGAGATCGAAACTACAGTCCACTCTGCATGATAACACCTTTTGGGAAACAAAGGCTATGTGAAATTAAATGGAAATAATCAGCTCTATTCATATAATTGTGGGAGAATTAAACATACAGTCCTGCATCAACTTAAGCGAAATTGGGTGAAACTAACTCATATATATGATTTACTGGTAGTCTCGAAAACCTATTCACAAACAAAGCATAACTACTACTATTATAAGAGATTTATTAAAGATTGTGCGTTTGGGGCTTTAAGCTCTTGTCGTACCCAACGCAGTCTCTCCCTTATCATTGCCCTGGATCCCTTAATGTCGTTGCTCTCAGCCTTATCCAATACGACGCTGCAGCTACAGTCCCTGTCATCTCCACTACATCAGGCACTGGATACAATTTTCGTTTTATAAGTAGCTTTACGAGACTATCAATAGATCTAATGCTAGAGTTGTATTCACATTATTTTGTTTACGGTGTGAGGCACTGGTAGTTAAGCTTTCCAACAATGATATAATTAGGCCCCATGTTTCAATTGCATTCACATCCAGGATGGAGTGGGCTGTGGGTTTGACCTCGCCTAGGCTTCATCAGAACCCTTACCTGGAGTTGAATCATGATAGTGGAAACTATAATCTGCACACGTTAATCACTGCGACACATTGCCACAAGTGACCTTGGGTCACAGGGCAGGTGTAAATTTCAACAAAGCCTAGGCCTTTCCCATATCACATCCATGTGGTATGATTGTTGATGATGCAAAATTGCATTTGCCTTAGCAAGTAACTACATTACTTATAGGAGTTGTTTGACCTTGGTTTCGCAACATAGTCATATTGGTAGGAAGACTTAGATGAACGCACCTAGTCCAGACTACATTGTCTGCATGATTATTTTCAAAGTTAAACCGTGGACGTGGTACATTCCCAAACGTTTCCACGTCAGTCAAAGAGACAAGTGAAGCCGATCTTATGACCAAATGTGTGCTAAACACTTGTGGTATCTCCCCTTGTACCCTGGGTTATTCGCGCTTCCGGTTGCATCCTATCATGCCTTCACTATTACAATTTTACAGTGTTTATTTAGATATAGTGTGGTGTGCTCCTTTGAGCGACATAAAACCTTCACACTCCAACTGTCGTTC